TAACCGTTCGGCCTTTGAGGCAGTTTGGTATATAATGCACACTGGCACTGCCAATGCGCCCATCACCCTGATACAAAAGTTGACAAATCCCATATGCCTATAATTTCACCAGCACCTTACCCTTCAAAACCGGAACGCAGTACTGCTAATAGCTGCTAGCTTGACGGCAGAAATAGGTAAGGTGGCAGCACTTCCCTGGACGAACTCTTTCACAAGGAGCTCTACTGCTACTAAAATTATAGTAGAAAAAACAAATATACGCGATTTAAATCCGGAAAAATAGTTTCATTTCCTATGTGTAACAATCGCGAAAACCTAAGAACTCGATATATAGTATTTTTTATATAAAATTGTAGTATTATTTATTATGTAGTAGCGTTAACAAATAAAAATAAATCATATAAGTATAAATCTTACCAGGTTCAAGTTTTTGTACACAAGCAAAGACTTCAATCTATAGACAAGAATATTCACAGAAACTATAAGTTCCAAACAAAACACTATGACAGTCCAACCAATTCCTACTGTCGGTGCGGGGTGTGAGGGGCGGGTGCGAGACCAAGCTGCCATACACTCGTGCTCGGGACACACCATTCAGGGTAGCGGCATTTACGTTAAATACTTCGTGTTTATAGTGATTTGTTATACAACAGTTGTAGTGATTTGTTGAGTGGAAAATGGTACAGTCATACTACGTGAGCTGTTAAAGACTGCATATCATTTCGCATAGCTAAAAATCTTAAATTTCGTCAGTTTCCGCAAACAGAAGAAAGGTGAGTCAAATAATTTTATTTTGTTTGGAATTGAAATGGTATGGTAATGAAATTATATTTTGCTAATACTTTTTAAAAGCAAAATGGCGGACCTTCACGACGCGCTGCGACTAAAATCAAGCAGCTTGCTTTTACTCATTACTTATTAGAATATAGTATTATTGGTTAATCCAAGTGGATACGACTTTTTCAATTAAAAATTAATATGAGTATCGTCTTCGGTGTTTTAGTGGGTGCTCGTTACATACAAATAAATATGGCTTTGGAAAATGGCGGACCGGAGTTTTAAATAAAATCAATAATTATGGGTATCGTTTTCGAGGTGTTTGGGAGTGCTTATTACGAATATGGTTTTAAATTCCAAATCCAAGACGGCGGACAAGAATTAAAAAAAATATATTTTTGGTCGTAATCATTATGAAAATGGTATTTATTTATAAATCCAAGATGACGGACACAACTATGCAAATAAATGTAATATGGGCATTGACTTACAATTATATGGACGTCGGGTCCGCGCTAAAAAGTGTCCGAACTTATAGGGCGTTAAAATCGTATACAGAGCGTCATTCACGCTTTAGTCTTCGTTTGTTTCTTCTGACAGCGAAGCAAGCAAAATTAGACAGTACTGCGATGACATTACAATTTAAATTCAACGTTTTAGCTTTTTCATATTCCTTTACATGTCACTACGTTTAAATAGGTTGACTTGGGACATTTTTTTCGTGGTTTTTGTATTAGACCCGTCGTCCATTTATTTGTAAGTCAATGAATATGGGTACCATTTTCGAAGTATTTGGGGGTGCTCATTATGAATATGGCACTTATTTCTAAATTCAAGATAGCGGGCACGACCTTTCAAATAATGGCAAGTTGGGTATCGCTTTCAACGATTTGGGAGTGCTCATTACGATTATGGCACTTATTTCTAAATCCAAGATAGCTGACACGACAAATACAAATAAAAGCAATATGAGTATCATTTTAGCTATTATCGAGGTTGATGATTATGAATCATAATTAAATCCTTTATAGACTTGATGCATTGAATTGAAGCATTTGGAGGACCCATTATTAGTCAGAAAAACTTGGAAAAAAAACGAGTGAGAGAGTGTTTTGGTTTAAAATAAAACGTTTAAACATAAAAATATTTTTTTAAATATATCCTTGTATGCTACACCTGCACATATTATAAAACGGCTTGTGAGAAAGCCCCACTATGGACATAGTAGTAGTACACCCACTCCAACAGACTAAATTAAAAAAAACACTTGGTGACAACCCTGCGGTATGACGTAATGTCTAGACGAAAGCGGCATTACGCGAAACTTCAAGGCGATGTCCCACTGTATGTTTTTACACTGTGACAGTATCAATAGTGACAGCGTTTTGTTTTAGTGTTGAATTTTGTCAAAGAGTATCAGTACCTTAGTACCGTGGGACAGACGCGACAGTCTATATCTGTTGGGAATGAGTTGAGAATCGTCATTATATTATAATACAGAACAAAACCAAAACAGATTATCGCGTACCTTACCGACTTCAAAAAAAGGAGGTTTTCAATTCGACTGTATGTTTTTTTTGTATGTATGTTACGCGATAACTCCGGTATTTGGGAACCGATTTTCATGATTCTTTTTTTGTTGGAAAGAGGGTACCTCCATAGTGGTCCCAATTCTTTTTGAAGAAAATCATCCGCCTCTAAGGGTGGCTGATCACGCATGAACATGCATTTTTATAAATAGCGCCTAAATTTTATTTAAGGAGAAATTATTTTAATGGTTGGTTTTGCGATTCTCCAATTAAAGGCGTTTTTCTCTCTCAATACTCGAGTCTACTACTACTCGAGTAGTGAGAACCGATTTTTATTATCTCCTGTGTCAAGTCCTGTATTGTGGCGAACTAGGGGATACTTCAATAGTACTTGGCAAATAGATGTAATTCCACGTAATTTTGAGGTCGGTTTTTTTAGTACTCTGTACTGAGATTATTTTATGTACTGATATTTTTTGAAGTATTTTTGCAGTACTGAAGCACACAAAGGTGGCATTATTCAATTGTTTCAAAGATGACGTACCAATTACTAAAACGAAAAAACAAAATAAGTAAAAGAAAAAAATACAGTCCAGTTGTTTAAATTATTGATGTTATGTTATGTAATTTTCTTGGCGAAAAGGCAAAGATCTTTAGGCCATGCAGCCTAGTCTTTTTTATATATTATTTAATTTATGTGGTAACCATAATGTTTTATTCATATTATACATACTCTGTCATTGTGTAGATAAAATACTCTGTTGCTTATTAATCTATGATATTATGTTTTGTCTTGTTTTAAAACGCGTCATTATATGCTTGCGGAAACGAGATGGATAGCGTGAAATTTTGCTTAGTATTTTGCGATTTCAAATATTATATATAATATACAAATTAATCAAAAACCATAACATTACTTAATAATTTAAAACTTGAAATTTATGTTCACTCAATTAGTCAAATAGCGAAATGTGAGCAACTGCTTCCGCTATATAGAATGTTTGACAACCAACTAAATAAAGTGTTGTGTCGGAACCGCACATCAGTCAAACACAGTCTGTGTCGCATCTAGTACGCTAGTACACATACATAGATATCGTGACACACAGTTAACACTTTCTTGTTAAACATTTTTAATAATCTACTTACGCGTAGAGAAAAACTTTCTACAGTAAAGGGGTTGTACACAGGTTGACGGATGTTTATGATTGTAAATTACATAACAATATATTTGTATGATACTGTACCTTAGCACATAGTAGCTGTTGTTACATATTTGTGTAAGAAATCTTCAAGTAATTTTAATTGACAAAGTTTACGGATCCATTTGTTTGTTGTTCTGAGCTTGGCTACTTTTCACATCATTATCCATAGTGTCATATGTTTTGTTTATTCATTATGTTTTTGAAGGGATATAATATATTGCTTACGTCAGCGTCGTACTGGCATTGACGTCATCGACATTAAATGATTCTGGAAATTTCAAGATAAATGATTACACATTCGAAACTCACAAAGACAAAATGGAAAATTGAATAATGGAAACCCATTGATTTTCAAATTAAGTGTTAGGCAAATCAATTCTGCAGCTTAAAGGACAGTCGGCTAACGTCTGACCACGTGACAACACAAACTGTGCCCCTACAAGCTGCGCGTAACGTTAGTGATACGTCGCGTCTGCCGTCGTCTGTAGACGAAATTAGTAGTACTTATTTTATTTGTGACATTACTCTGTAGATTATCCAGCACTCGCAGATAGCATAGAAGGTAAATTTCAGTATAGTTCTTGCAATTTTGCTTTTAATTACTATTTATGTATCACTGTAAATAGATAAAAAATGCATTTAAATGTTTTCGACTCCTTATCTGAGCCTCGTGCTGACATGTTTGATTTATGTTTTTATGTTGGTCAGCCCGATTAGACATAATAGCGCGGGTTTTTTCAAGAACTGGTCATCACCATACGTATTAATCCTTGCGTACTAACATAATACTACTTGCAGTACTTCCCACATGAAGATATTACAAACTAATATATTTGGAGATATTATAATTATCTCGGACCAACTCTTTCTAATAAATGATAATATTAAGTTACATGAATGTAGCAGGAAAGTTGCACGTAAAGTATGATACTCAACATTTAATTTTAATTCTATACCGCTTCATACATCATATAACGGCCCAAAGCGTAAAGTTTCATTCGCTCTGGGATTGAGTGCACATAGTGATTTGCTAAAGCCAGCAGATAACTACTCTGTATTTGTTGAATTTGAAATATAGCTGCTAAAGGAATTTAGTAAGCGTTTTTAGAGTGCGAGGATAAAAAACAGTTACCTATTCCGTGTTGGTTTTGATTACCGGGATAGATAGTATCGTAACCACACTTAAATTTTTCATTTCTAAAGTCATTAGGGTTATAATCATACCCTATATATAATGTCTGGTTTATTTTTTCTCAAATTAAACACGTAAAATGTTAAAAAATTGCGCTAGATCATACATTATTTATAAGTAAATTTCAGTGTATATCTACTTAGTGATAATCTGAAAAATTAATTTACTGTTCAAAGTATTGTATATATAAAGATAATCTTACGTAATTACGTAAGGTTATCTTTTATTTTTTTGATTAGTTAACTAGAAACCATATCTTTCCGTAGGAAATAAAATGTTATAATAATTTGGTTCTAGAGCACAATGGACGTCATTTTCCTATACCTCTGCACTGTTGTGCTGGGATACTTCATATTCAAAAAAATTAAAGATTGGCAAAATCTACCGCCAGGACCATGGGGTTTGCCTGTGTTTGGTTATTTGCCATTTCTTGACCGCCGCCTTCCACATTTAACACTAACAGAGTTGTCAAAACAGTACGGCCCAATATATGGAATAAGCATGGGAAGTGTTTATACTGTCGTTTTGTCGGATCACAAATTGATAAGAGATGCCTTCGCAAAAGACAGCTTCTCAGGGCGCGCACCCCTCTACCTGACGCACGGAATAATGCATGGCAACGGTAAGTGAATACTTAAACGATACAATATTGTTTAACCGACTTCAAAAAAGGAGGAGGTTCTCAATTCGACTGTGTTTTTTTTTTCCTTTTTTTTGTACGTATGTTACGCAATAAAATTCTTTTTTTTTTGGAAAGAGGGTACCTTAGTAGTGGTCCCATTTAAATTTGAAGAAAATAGGTGTAAGAAAAAAGTGGCAAACTAGGGGATGAATGGATTTTGAGGTCGGTTTTATTAGTACTCTGTACTGAGATTATTATGATATCAAGAGACGGGACGAAAAAGTCGCGCGCGGTGGTAAACGACACACCTGGGACGGTGTGACCTCGTTACACTGTCATCCCACCTCTTTGTATCGCCTCTCTCCGCTTGTATCCTAACATTTTTTATTTTACATGTATTTAAATTTTAAATTAGAATTTTCCATCTTCCTTCACTTTCTCATTTTGTTTTCGTACCACGGTCACTCGCAGCTCTACTGCAACAACAGGCGGAGCTGTTTCAAATTCCATTTACTAAAATCTTATTTTTGATTCTTTACCAAGTTATAATACAAAACATAATACAACAGGCGGAGCAAAAGAATTATCAAAAATTTGCTGCAATAGTTTTTTGACCAAAAATGAAGCCATAATCCCGGATATAATGGTGCCGCCATTGAAACCCTGTACACCGACCTCCTTACACCGTCATCTCACCCTTTGTATCGTCTCTCTCCGCTTGTATCCTATCATTTTTTATTTTACATGTATTTAAATTTTAAATTTGAATTCTTCCATCTTCCTTCACTTTTTCATTTTATTTTCGTACCACGGTCACTCCCAGCTCGACCGCCACAACAGTCGGAGCTGTTCCAAATTCCATCGCGAATAATCGCTAATTCTGGTTCTTTACTAAGTTTATAATCATTAAATAAGCTAAATCATGTGTAATAATTTATAACAGTCTACAGCCTTCGTGTACCTATATCTGTAATTCAGTTACTCGGGGTAAGTGCCTTAATAATAAAGTGTAGGAGTGTTTTATACTGTTGTACCTGTTTTTTTACATTTACCTTTTTATTGTTACAGCCCTTTCTTTAAAATTTACTTCTTTAATAAATTTTGTGGACCGGAAGTTTCCCGTTTCATTGCCGTGAACCTGTTCACGGCTAGTTAGGGTTACAACCCTTTCACGCCTACCCATAACAGATGCTACTCAGAGCTTTAAATCGTGAAGATCTGAGGGCGACTGCCACTGCGCCCGTCACACTGAGACATAAGTTGACAAGTCTCATGTGCCTGTGAATTCACCAGCATCCTAAGTTTATAACCGGAACGCAGCAATGCTCACATTATTGCTTGGCAGCCGATATAGGTAAGGTGGTAAGTACTTCCCTGGATTAACTCATTCACCAGGAGCTCTACTGATACTACCGTATATTCAAACTATGTGGCTTATTTATTATATCAGAAACAACGTGGGACATTTGTTTCGAAATATCCTGATCAAACTGAAATTAACAAGATAACTTTCTGATTTTATGGTATTCTTGCAATTAACTGTAGACGAAGAAGATAAAACTACTACAAATACTCCAATAATGAGGAGGAGTACTCTTAGAAGTCAGTGTAAAAAAGACAGACAGCTACCACAAAATTTTATGAATATAATCGTATCAACCAATTAAGTATTAGTGGTAAATTTGCTAATTACAATTTTTTTAAGGTATAATTTGCGCCGAAGGAGGACTATGGAAAGATCAGAGGAAGCTGGTTACGACCTGGCTTAAAAGTTTCGGAATGACTAAGCACGGCGTGTCGCGAGATAAACTGGAAGCACGCATTTCATCCGGCGTATATGAATTACTTGAAGTATGAATTATTTAACTAAATTTACTTTTTGCTGATCTTGATTTTGAAGCACCATTCATTATAATCACCATCATCATCAATCCATTTACGCGTCCCGCTGCTGGACACGGGTTTCCTCTCACGCAAGAGCTTAGGCCTTAGTCCGCCATACTGGCTAAATGCGTATTGCGTACTTCACACGTTTTTCGAGGGTTGTGAACCTTCTTCAACGTGCTAGTTTCATCACGATGTTTACTTTCACCGAATAGCTTATGATAAATTTCAAATTATATTTCGCATATAAATTCAGAGAAATTCAGAGGTGCGAGCCCGGATTCGAAACCACGACCCTCTGCTAGAGAGGCAGTAGGTCAAACCATTAGGCCACCACGGCTTCTTAAACCATTACGCTATACGGCTTCTTCCGAAGCATTACAATGCACCGCGTCACGTGACGGAGCGCGAGACGCAGAATCACGCGCGCGATGGCGGAGACACAGATCTGCATCAACGCGCGGTTTAATCTGCGTGGGGGCAGCGGCCTAGCGGCCCCACGTTACTTAAAGTATTCGCTTCGCAGTTGATCGCCGTAGTGATTGTATATGTAGCCGAGCTCCTTCTTTGACAAGAATGGTTAATAATACAGAACTCATTCAGGACGCTGCAGTCATACTGTACCTTTGGTTGTCCCTATCTACCGACCCGAGAGACATGGTTTTCCGGAGAGACTACGGGCTCGACGGCAAGATCAGGGTACCTAAAGCTCCGGTACCTATCTGGAAAATAGGGAGGGTACTGTACGTGCACCCGGGGCGGCTCACCTGAGGCACAAGCCTCTCGAAGAACCGGGTGAAGTCAAGTGACAGAGGTCGGTGACAACCCTGTGTACTGGCTGATCTGGGGTCAGAACCTGAACTTGTAAGGTTCCTGTGCGCGTACAGGTTATAGTGTCCTTCTCGTATAAGGGTATCTCTAAGGGTAGGTAGGGAGGGTCATTATAATCAAAACTAATGTAGAAAGATATGGTGCTTGTCCCTTTGGTTTTTGTTTACTCAAATAAAAAGACACCGAACATATTGGATACATCACTTGATCGATAAATGGATAATTTCAACTTCATTACAAAGATTTAAGAAAATATAAAGATGAATTTGATCGACTTTCAATAACAAATATAAATTTATCGACGTCATGATCTATTGTAGAAAACTAAACATGTCCTTAAGCTTAGAAGTCTGCGCGGTAGTGCGGAGCGCAGTGTGCCATACACTGCGGTTCGCCGCGCCCCTCCGCGCGGAGGTAAAACAGCGCGCGCCGCGCTACCGCGCGGAGAAGCGTTATCAGTGTGTTCGACGGCTCGTGTTTTCCATACAAACTGAGGGACTACAGTACAACGTTAAAAAACGCAGCTCCGCGCTCCGTCGCGAGGCGTGGTGTAGGTGATAATCGCCTTATTACAAAGTATATATTTAGATTTACTTCAAAAGATGTATTTAAGTATTTCAAGTTACAAAAAAGATAATTTTTACCTGTGTCTAACAAACTTCGTGACAAATCAGTTTTTATGTAATACAAAAAATCGTACATATTTCTTGTAAGCGGCATTTAATGGCACAGATAAATGTTGCTGCGCTACGAGCAACAAAAAAATGATCTTTTACTTCGTTTTTTGTTTCTTTAATTTACAATTCACAACCTGAATATATTTGGAATTTTAGAATGTCGACAAAAGCGGCGGGGCTCCCATGGATTTGACACATATGCTAACGAATTCATTAGGAAATGTTGTTAATGAAATTATATTTGGTTACAAATTTCCACCTGAAGACAGAACTTGGACTTGGTTTCGACAAATTCAAGAGGAAGGGTGTAATGAAATGGGCGTATCAGGTGTAGTCAACTTTTTGCCTTTTGTTAGGTAGTTTCCAAATTTTTTTGTGTATTATGTGTTTATTTGTAACTGCAAATAAAGTAAATTACCTAAATGTCTTTTTTAGGTTTCTATCATCATCAACTAGGAAAACCATTGAAGTATTAACGCGCGGTCAAGCTCAAACGCACAGGTTGTACGCTAGCATTATATATAAAAGACGCAAGACTTTAGGATTACAGACGCCAGAAGGAGCAGAATATCCCCTACATCATAATTTATTTAGTGAGCATCCTGAAGGTCATATCAAATGTATCAAATACAGCAAATACTCGTCCAATACAGAAGAACATTTCTTTGATCCGGAGATCTTAATTCCAACTGATGGTGAATGCATCTTGGATAACTTCTTAGCCGAACAGAAGAAGAGGTTCGAAAGTGGCGATAAGAATTCATGCTATGTAACGGACGAGCAACTACTCTACCTCCTGGCGGACATGTTCGGCGCAGGCCTTGATACAACATCTGTTACACTCGCCTGGTTCTTGCTATATATGGCGCTCTACCCCGAAGAACAAGTAACTCCCTTTAATGTTTCGTTATCAAAATACATCATTTGCCTTTTACTGAGATATCCTGTTAAAGGTTGAGAGATTTATTGCGGTTTTGGTGTGAATTTTCATGTATGAGATATTTTTTGCAGGAAATAGTCCGGCAAGAAATGCTTAAAGTTTACCCAGAAGAAAGGCAAATTGACGGAACAGATCTTCCTCATCTAATGGCAGCTATCTGCGAAACACAGAGAATACGCTCGATTGTACCTGTAGGCATACCTCACGGCTGCCTCGAAGTAAATCCTATGACCATAAGAAATTTATTTCCATTGGCGTTTTTTAAATCTATTACTAAAACATTTTCTCCAAACAATCCTTTTCTCTACATGTAATAAAATAAATTTCAGGATACATTTCTGGGAAATTATAGAATACCTAAAGGAACTATGGTGGTTCCGTTACAATGGGCACTTCACATGGACCCAAACGTCTGGGACAATCCGCAAGAATTTCGACCAAGTCGTTTCTTAGCTCCTGATGGAAGCTTGCTTAAGCCTCCCGAATTTATACCTTTCCAAGTTGGTGAGTTACTCTTTACTGTAGATATTCTTCAAGATAATTCCGCGATGATATGACCTTGAAAGGCAGAAAGAAATTGTCAGCGAGTTCAATTACCCATAAAGCCGCCTTGTTGAGTTGTTACCTGTCCTTGCACTCTGTCAATTCGTCAAATAAATTATACATTTGGCTTATGGAGTTGCTACGGCAGATCGCTATTAGGCTGACAAACAAATAGGTTTATGTGTTTTGTATCAATTCTCTGTAGTTTGTTGCAACTAGGCACTGAAGAATAAGAATCACCTTTTGTAAAGCTGTGAAGAGACTATGACTTTATTTCAGGCAAGCGTATGTGTCCCGGAGACGAGCTTTCGCGTATGCTCGCGTATGGGTTGGTAGCGCGACTTTTCCGACGCAAGAGAATTCGCTTAGCCTCTAACCCACCCACGGAACAAGAAATGATGGGAACTGTAGGTGTCACTTTATCTTCTCCACATGTGAAATTCTTCTGTGACCCATTGTAACTTATTTTTAATAAGATTTTCTGGTTTGTGTCTACGGTTTGTGAACTAGCATTTACATGTTAATAACAATTTAGTATATATAAAATATGTATACTGAATATTTAATGAAAAAAAAATTATACACTATAATATTTGCATTCAAGTTACGGTGTGTTATTCAATAATTTTCCAACATCATATATGTAACTATTAACAATTTTCAACAACTGTATTGGATTGGGAGTGCAAAGTATTTATGCTATAGCGAATCGCAGCAATCGCTATAAATCTCCTTTATATGTATGTATTTTATAGTCTCTTTGAGGTTTCGTTTTATATTTAAATTCTAAATTTAAATGTGATTGTTTTTGGCGCCTTTTATTCACTATTGTTTTTGTTTAGCTGTATGTGTTATATAATAAATTAATAAACTGGAAGTACATTTGCTTTGGTCTTGCTCACTCGTTGTTAGCACCTACCCGAACCCATTGATACAGTCCGCTACAGATGCATATTTTTTATCAAATTACGAAACTAACTCATATTGAAGCATCATCGTTCATAGTTTTAAATTGTTTGTTTTTTTACTTGTTTTTGTTGGTTTTAATTTGTTTGTTTCTTTAGGATGCTGGTTTTAAATTTTTGTTGTGTATTATCATATATATTTTATTATACACTCGATACATAGTGTTTCCAATGGTACCGTTGGTAATTCAGATATCTTTTGTCTACGTTTAAGAGGAAGCAAACAGCATCTTTCGCAATGTTTCATTTCATTATTTCTTGCGAATACTTTGGACATAAATAGTAAAAAAAACAATAATGCGCCAACTAAGTTGAATGACCATGAGAAAAGCGACGTGTGGGTCGACCAGATACTTAATGTATTAAGTGTTTGGCATTATAATAAAATACGATCAATTAGTTGGGCTAATAAACTAAAATTGTTACGATGCCTCATTATTGGGATTACAAACAAAACAATATATATGTTTCAATAGTTTTTCATTTATTGATAAAGTACACCTTAATCATTTAGATTATGAAAATACAACTATGTACTTAAAACTTATCTAAGGATGGTAAGTTACTGACAACGGTAAACTACTTGTTTTTAAATATCGGGTTTATGAAAATATCATTACAGAGGCAACTACGTTGCAAAATGTTGAAAATCAAGACAAAATTATATCCAAATACGAAACTTAAAATATTCAATCGTATTACCATCGGCGACGTAGCAGCCACCGTTAGACTAGCCTGCACTACCACGGCATGGTACATGTTACACTATAAATAGAAATAATAATTGACGAGGCACTAATGGAACATAACACACATGAGATCACACTCAACAATAACACTCATAAGTGATATTTACTAATAAATAATGACCTAGAATACGCGTATATTTTGGTATAGGTACTAGAGCTTAATACAATACTTAACTAAACGCTACAGTGTTTAATACAGTGTGATTTGCTATGATCTGTAATACCGCCTTTATAATACTACAAACTCACACAACCAACTTTATGTATATAATCTCATCAGAATCATACGATACAAGCTAAAGTCTAAGGTCGGTTAATTAAATGAACACTTTTATGCACAGCCTCAACCATCGCCACAGCGACGTAGTCACTTAAATATAAAGACTTAAATAATGGTCGTAGATGCGCTCTAAAACGAGTGATCGATGAATACTGGTGGGTGAACTTGGCAAGCGCTCTTGCGCAGCGTGCTGATTATGGTTAGGCGGCTAGTCAATGTGAACCAACGTGGCGCAACACCTGATGCTCAACTACGAGTGGCTCCGGAGGCGGTGGAGGAGGTTGTTCACGGGGCACGAAACGTAAACGGAAGGATTCGGGCGCGATTGTTGCCCCCACGATGCCTTCTAATGATGGCAGTTCCACACCCGCTTCCGGAAGCATGTCAAACTGGTGCATGATACTAGCGAAGAACATAAACATCTCCATACGCGCCAATACGTCACCTAGGCACATGCGCCGACCCACGCCAAAAGGCATAAAATACTCTGGTCGTCGAACTTTGCCGTCAGCATCGATGAATCGGCTAGGGTTGAACTTATCAGGCTCCTCCCATAGATCGGGATCCATGTGCACGCAGTTGATCAAAGGTACCACCTGCGAGCCCGCTGGAATTCTGTACCCATTTAGGTGGACATCCCTGTAGGCAAGAAACGAATGTGTTAGTAATTTGTTTTCTAAAGTTTATAGTAAACAACACATACAACTTCAAGTAAGAAATTAATAACATAAAATCATATTAGAATACTTACTTAGTGGGAGAATGAGTAGTTGCGAGGGGAACAATATTCGACATTCTCAAAGTCTCTAGGATGGTGGTTTCTGTATAGGGCAGGTTAGGCATATCCTCGACGGTGGGAAGGCGGCTGCGACCCACTACGGCATCTAGCTCATCCTGGACGCGCTTCTTCACATCGGGATTCCTCAGCATAAACACAATCATCCATAATAATGACGACTTAATGGTTTCCATGCCGGCGGAAAATAAGTCACCAAGAATTTGTTTTAGGTGCAGTTCTGAAATAGTACGTTTTATTAACGTAACATATTTTATAAATTTCTTTATCTTATGAAAAATAATAAAAATATAATGTTTCATATATAAGGATGGCGTTATATTTACCATGATCACGTCCTTCGAATAACTCTCCAGCCCTGCCCTCGGTCTTCGCTTTCTCAATTTCTATGAGGTAAACATCAATGAGGTCTCTGGAGTTGTCCACGTCAAGAGTTTCGCGATGCTCATCGATCAAAGTTTGATAGAAATCGAACATTTGTAGGCGATTTTGAATTATTCTCTCTTGGGCTTGTGTTTTTCCAGGGAGATACTGTAGAGCAAGCAAATAACATTAGACATTTACTTAGCTATCACGAAATGAGTTAAAATTTTGTAATGAAAGTTAACATACGTTGTAAAGAGGGACGTATTCTCCGTAGTGTATTTCCCCGAAAAGCCTCATGCCTTCCTCGATGAGATGGTTGAGGTGCTCAAAGCGCTCATCGCCCTGACTAAATCTCACGGACATAGTGATGCCACAGATGACATTAGACACAACGAGAGCGAGTAAGGGGTTTGCGTCAATGGGAGTGCTGTCAGATGCGCGTAAACTGCCCATCAACTCCAGTACTTCATTCTGTAAAGTTAAATTTTTTGTTAAGTCATTAATTCCAACGTACCTACTTATATGTTAATATTTTCGTTTGAATTGACCTACTTGAACAAAAATTACAGTCAGTTCTAATAGTAACGAAAACACGAATGTTATAAAATTTATTATCACCAACTAGGATTGATTAGATATAAATATTCAGAGAAACAATGTCATGAAATGATAAGAAGTGCAAACCTTAATTCTTCCTTCCATGATTTTCTTGCCATTGCCCATGTATGTCATACCAAACTCGCGCAGTTTCTCATGAAGGAACCGGCGCTGGCTCTTCCAGAGGCGGCCCTCGCTATTGATGATACCTGCGGGAGGCGCGGCGCGGTTAGACAAGCGGATTGACCGGTAAGTGACGCCTGGCGTCAGGGGGCGGCGCGAGCGCAGACTACCGCCCGCGACCCCGCTACCCTCTCCGCCCACACGCACATGTGCTACCGATAGTATACCGGGCATAATACTCTCCATTAATATTATGTATGCCAACAATTACGCATTTTTTGTAATTTGATAATAATTTAATAAGTTTATAAGAAATTATTTAACAAACAAAGTTAAATTTGAAAACACGGGTGATAATAGTATTATTCACTTCGATCGTTATCATAGTGTTTTAGTACATTTCTTTGTTTTATGAAAGTTTTAAAATGTATAGATTAAAATTTTTACATTTACAAATTATGAATTCTTACCTAGTCCTTCCAGGGTGTGCATAAGCGGCGTGTTGGGTCGGCCGGTGAACTCCTCGCGACGGAATGCCTCACGGATGAGCCGGTAATCGCTGAGGACCACTGTCAGCTGGTTACCTAGCCGAGCGGAGAAGAGCGGACCGTAGCTGCGGGCCAGTTCGAGGAAGGTTTTATGACGCACACCCACGAATGGGAGGTAGCCCACAACTGGCGGTCCCCATGGGCCTGGTGGCAGTTTGCGTGCCTCACGCACCAGCGCCATCAGCCACATCGCCAGCAGCACCGCGCCTGCTGCCACCAACAGCGGCACAGACGTGCGCGATGCACAGTAAACTACCACTTGCCACATCCCCCATAATAATTTAGAATTTGTTAGCATCGTTAATATCATCGTAGTCTTTTTTTAGGATTTAAATCAACAAAATAGTCTATAAATTGTCGAGCAAACGAAACATTCGTGCGAGGAGCTTGTCGAAGATCGCGCGATACTACTATACTGAGAATGCTATGATTGTATATCGCGTGCGACAGTCGTTTGCGCACTGGGCGCCGTTGGCGTGGCCTTGCGAATAAATAGTAGCCTGCGGGGTGGAGCGCGGTTCGTCCCACCGGCGCCTGAGCCCTCTTTCCGTCGCTTTTCTTCACTCTGGTAAACGCTACGAACGGCGTAGCAGTGCTCGTAGCACAAATTTATTTTAAAAAATAAAAAACAATCGAGTAATAAGAAGGTTTAATACGTAATACGTAGAAGTTTAATACGTGGTATTTGTTTCAATTTGTAAATAATTGTTACAGAATTATTTACAAATTATTTCGTTAGTTATTTAATTTTTTGAAAGGATTCAAAAGAATCCCATAATTAATTTAAAATGACAGTAATAATTTACAACTTAATAAATTTTGCACGTGCAAATTATTCCAAGTGTTTTAAAAATCACACTTAAGGATAATGTATTAAATATGTATGCCAATGGTAAACATAACAAAAGTACTTATATAATTTTTGCTTCTTTAAATATAGTAAGTGTAACAAGAGAGGCGGAGACAGAGAGAAAAATAAGTAATTAATAATTTGATAATGAACTAAGACAGTATTTTCACGTTTTTGGTTGGCGTTTTCAGTGATTAATTTTACGGGTTGGTATCTAGGTTCCTTTATTTGCCAATTTTTATTCGGAAACTTAGACTTCGTCCTTTTCGGATTGTTTTATAAAATTTATCAATTTCTTTTTTGTTCATATGATACATTCGAATGTGGACACTTGGTCAAGGCATAATGTATCGTAGTGAAGGAACGAGGGCTTATCGAGGTCGTACGGGTATGCATGCATATGATAAGATTAACGAATTGCGTAAGTTGGTGCGAACAAGGTGACGGCGGGTCAACGACTCGCGAGCGAGAGCCTTGGGCCAGCCCGCACGGGTACGCGCCCGCGTACCAGGCCCGACCTCTAACTGACACTACAAACATTTCACAAACTGGACGCGTCTCGCAAAAAGATCGCTCTCAGCTCTCAGATTCGTTCGCAGCTACGGTCCGCTCTTCTCCGCTCGGTTAGGTAACCAGCTGACAGTGGTCTTCAGCGATTACCGGCTCATCCGTGAGGAATTTCGTCGCGAGGATTTCATCCGACCCAACACGCCGCCTATGCATATGCATATAACTGCCTCCGTGGCCGAACGGTTACCACTGGAACGACTGCCACGCAGAGGTTCCAGGTTCGATTCCCGGGCCGGGAGAAATAGTTGTATGGCCTACAATTATTTCTCTCGTGAGTTTGGGTGTAATTTGTGGTTGTCTATGTGTGTGTCCATGGCACCCGCGACACAGGGTTTCCCTAGTGCGGGGCTATGTTGAGTGTATGCGTCATTTATTATTTATTTAATTATTTATTTATTTATGCACATACTGGACGGACTGGGTATGTGTTCGTCCCGTCACTCGGTATTATAAAAATAAAAGTAATAAATAATAGGAAGCAGCGATTTCCATAGGCGCCATTGCACCTCTGACGTCTCCGATCGCAACGAGCGTAACCAGTTTAAACAAAACCTGTCTGTCGTAAAATATAAAGAAGTTGACATGTTTTGAATTTTTTTAGACTAAAATAAATAAAAAAACTCGCTGCATCACGTTAGGTATGATATAAAACTCGTCTGATTTGATAAGATTTCGTCTAGACATTTCTAGATGCATTAACGTAGAAGGTAACTTCATGAAGTATCATTAGTATGAAAGTGTCTATCTAGTGATACACTACATACTAGTATATGAAAACGTCATGTATTCTGGAACATTCTTAGAAAATTACATTAAAAATTTAAAACATAATTTATTACAATAGGTAAAGCTATATATAATTGTAATGGTACAGTCGCTAGAATCGAAATCAAAATTTGATCTTCCTAGAAATCATAAAAATATGTAGAAAAATATTGATATTTATGCAAATAAACAACGTCCACGGTGGCAAATGTTTCATAGGCAGATGCAGTTTTACAATTAATAATAATAATGCACACACTCAACATAGCCCCTCACTAGAGAAACCCTGTGTCGCGGGTGCCATGGACACATACATAGACAACCACAAATTACACCCAAACTCACGAGAGAAATAAGTGCCAGACAGGCATGGTAACCGTTCGGCCACGGAGAACGGCCAGTTCAGAATTATTCACTAATTAATTATTTATTAATTATCAACTAAACATTCATGGAGATTATTTATTTTAACTTAGCTACGTGCCTACGTATTAATACAAAAGACTGTACTTGCTCATAATCAATTTATATTCGTGGGTATTGTAGGCAGCAAGCATCATTTGCATATGTAGATTATTCTTGTAATTAAAGTTATTTATTGTGTTTATATCTAATAAAATCATTGCATTATTTAAAGTAATTGGATTATGGAATACAAACAAATATTACATAAGAAAACGCAGAGAATACACAAGAGGAAAAACCATTAAATAAATGAAGACTAGCTCAGCAACATTTTACGAATTCGGAGGATGATGAATGATGATATAAATGGCCACATTTGCATTACATTCGATTGTAACAACTGACATAAATCATTTACATATACAATGTATCGATTTGCATTGTCACCATATTTACAGAGGTTATCTTATTTCTGAAACTGAACCCAAATCGCACAACTAAAACAATAAATCGCAAAAAAATTCTTATATTCTTATTTTTTATTTAATTGCGGTAAACATAGATTCCCTATCACCTGATCCAAAGGTCATTAACTTTTGCACGGCACGCGCTACCAAACAGCGAAAGATGAAGGAGCCGCCAGTGTTGTTATCTCTTTCTTAAACGCAAGCGCTCGCGAGTCGCGCGTCTTCAATCAATGCGGTCGCGTACGCACTGGGATAAGTGGGAGAGCTAGCCCGCCGCAATTCTATCATTTCTATCTAGTATATCGCGAAGTGCCGCGTAACCTGATTTGTTTTTTAAACAAGAGATTTTTACTGTTGACCAGAACTGTAATATCATCAAAGTTGTGCTCCTTCTCGTTGTGGACGGCAAGTGCGTGATTATTACTTATAGGATGTGAAACGTTTAGTTTCCACGGAGAAGATTATGAGTGGCGAACAATTCCGCGCCAAAATCATGTCCGCTTTCTAACTTGTGAAGTTACATTTACTAGTGCTCAGAAAGTTGAAACCAAACTTTCGACAACGTGCAAATTTTTGCATAGCCAGTGGTGGCGGACACTTGTAGTAATTCCTTCAAGTAGATAGCCTAAAATGAGCACTTGTAGCTTCTACTCTACTTAGTACAGGGATAGCGCAATGAAACAACATGTGTTTACTTCACGTACATGTGCGATTCGTCCGCTCACACCACTGTCTAGTGTCGTAATGGCGGGAACGTCGGGCCGCTGTGCAACTAATGTTGTCTATTGTCTACGGTACATTACGTGTATAAACTAGAGCACCAAATCTAAATTACAAAAAAAAAAAACAGACATTTTTAGTCAACTTCCCTAATTATTGTAATTAATAAATTATAACAATAATTAATCATAATTATATAAAATAGATAATTAAGCAATCTAGAAAGATATGTTTCGTTCGGTGAAATGCAGGGTGACCGAGCACTCGGACCCCGTCGGGGTCACTGCCCGCGCGCAGTGCATACGATTTAAATATAATTTTGCAAAACTTTACTAGATACAATTACTCAGAATATTGAACAGAATATTTTTTAAATATTTTAGTTGATTTAGTATTATATGTATATACAGTGTGTTGGTTTGTATTCTCGCCATATTTAAGAAATTAATAATAAAAATAATGCTAAATCATTGAAAAATATCAAACAAAATATTCTGGTCAATATTCTGGCTAATTGAACCTAGTAAAGTTTTGCAAAATTGTCCCTATATCGTATGCGCCTCGCGAGAGCAGTGACCCCGCCACCCACTTCACCGAGCGATACGTAATCTTTCGCGATCGCTTATCTACCTATTTTTTAAATTATGATTATGTACTAGTATTGTTATAATTTACTAATTATTTACATTAATTAGAAAAGTTGACTGAAAAAAGGTTTTTTGTAAGTTAGATTTGGTACTTACCAATTTTAGGTTACATGAAAGTATTACTAGAAGTACCTAGCTCCATAGCTGGTGGACTGGCTTCCTACCGGAGGCACCTCCAGCTATACAGAGATTCAACTTAATACTTAGTAAGTTTCGTTTCAACTTAGGACATTGACTTCACAACTTTGAAAGAAGACGATTTTTGCGCGCAATTCTTCGACACTCGTAATCTCCTCCGCTTAAACTAAACGTTTCACATCATGCCAGAAGAATGATCACACACTTACACTTGATTGTAATGCAGGTTCTAGTGAACCTGACAGCGGTTCTCTTTTGCACTAACTTTTGTTTACATATCAGACCACGTGGCCTTTCGTGAGAGACTAGCTAATATTTCACTAGAATTGCGGCGAGTTCGGCTATTATCCCACCTCATCCTTATGGGTAAGCGAGTGCACTAGTTAGGTTGGCGCGTGTGCTGTGTTTGAGAAAGAAAGAGATAGCAATACTTTCTCGGTTCCTTCTGCTGCGCTATAAGTTTAGCACGTGCCGTGCAAGTCAATGACCTTTGGATAAACCAGGATCAGGTGATTGCGAATCGATGTTTACTGCAATGAAATAAAAAATAAGAATTTAGGTTTTTTCCGATTTTTTAGTGATTTGGGTCTAGAGGTCATTCTACCTCCGTAATAATGGCGTGAATGCAAATCAATACACCATATTGTTATGCTTTCTTAGAACAAAATTCGTAACTTTATCTTCTGAGTTTAAAAGATTGTAGGCTTATGTGATTGTTACACTTTGGAAATTAAATTTTTTTATCGGATCTAAATCGCGTATT